CCACGGCTCTAGACCCAAGAGATTTTGAGATGGGGAAATGAGTTACTAAATGTTTCTGTTTTTTTCACTATGACTCACAAATTTGATTTGCAGTCTCATACCTGTTTTTATGACATTTTTGGCTTCACTATAGTCCAGTAAAAATCGAGAAAGTTTTCTTGTATTTCTAGTTGACTTTTCTTACCCTTGTCACTCATTCACATGGTACTTGCTTGATCCCTGTAGGCATTGGAGCTGGCATTTCCAGGTTTAAATCAGTCAGCAGAGACCAGAGGGAGAAAGACAGATGTGTGTGTTCATTGAGGGGCATGTATGCACACACATTTATCACACACACACACACAAACACACACACACACACACACACACATACCCCTTTTGAGTGGTGTCCCGGTGACCCTGAGATGATTCCAAGTTTAAGCAGAGTTGGTTGGAGATGTAGTATTACTGTGTTATCGCCTCTGCCTCCACATGAACCTAGAAAGTGAGGATTTAAAATGGAAAACCCCAAAGCAAATAACATTTGCCTTGAAAAGGCAAAAAAAAAATTGAGGTTTGGAGGTTCTCTTTATTCAGCGTTATTTTGTGTGCTGTGCCAGCACGGCCAAGGGTGACCCTGAGTGGGGGCAGTGAAGAATTTAGAAAAGACAGACAAGAGAATAAAGCTGGGTCTGAGTGAGACGCTGCCCCCTCTGATGGAGAGAGCACCACGGACTACAAGCCATGTCTTTATTTTATAGCAGATTCCACAAGGTAAAGTAAGGGCATGGTCAAGATGTTTACAACATTCTCGTGGGTTTTGATCCTACTCAACTACATGCAGCTGAACTCTATCAAGCCCACGTCACTCAGACAGGTGGGGCCATGTGTTCGGACCATAGATTCAAGTTTACAACTATTGCTGTTGGCTATAATTGTGCTGGGAAGGCTCTGTCGGCTATAATTGTGCTGGGAGGGACTTGTTCGTGGCCATGAGAGGACTGTGCCCTCTCATTAGTCCGAGGCTTGAACCTGTCCAAACACTAGCCGCTTTCCACAATTTTGAAATAATTCAAATTTATAGAAAAGTTGCAGAAATGAAAATAGTATGAAGAACATTTATGTGCCTTTTAGCCAGATTCTCATATTGCAACATTTTACCCCATGTTTTATTATTTGTTTGCTTTCTCTCCCTCCCTCTTTCATGTGTGTACAACATTATCTATAAGTGTATAAATGAATGAGTATATAACATGTATGTAAACATATATGCATAATTTCTTTCTGAACTATTTGAGGGCAAGTTGTACACATCATTTACCCCTACATACTTCATGGAGTATTTTCTAAGTGTAGGGATATTCTCTTAACATTACCAGGCTTTAGTTACCAACTCCCGTTAACCGAACATTGATGCAATACTCTCAGCCAATTTACCATTCATACTCCAGTTTTGTCAGTTGACCCAAGATGTCCTCATTTTTTTAAAGAGTAATGTGTGTGTTTTTTGTTGTTGTTTCTTTAACATATTTTTATTGATTTCAGAGAGGAAGGGAGAGGGAGAGAGAGATAGAAACATCAATAATGAGAATCATTGATCGACTACCTTCTGCACGCCCGCCACCGGGGATCAAGCCCACAACCCAGCACATGACCTGGACCGGAATCAAACCTGGCACCCTTCAGTTCACAGGCCGACACTCTAACCACTGAGCCAAACCAGCTAGGGCTAAGATGGCCTCCTTTATAGAATATTTCCCCTAGAGGGTTGTCATTTGAGAGCACATATATACCTGTTTTCTTAGTCTCTATTCATCATTGGCATTAGGGACCCAAAATTGTGAATACTTTCCAGGTTGGAGGACTTAATCTGACTAGAATGCAAAAAGGCTGAGGATCCTGCCCTGGTGCCCCCCTCAGGAAGCAATGGAGAGAAGGCTTCAATACGAGTGAAGGGAGGCTGCAGGAGGGGGAGACGAGCCTCCAGGTGGTGGCCTGCTCAAGGCACCCAGCCCGCTGGAGCCTGATGCTTGTCCTCAGACACCAGGGAAATGACCCAGCCCGGTAGCTCCTGTCCGGAAGGTTGGCTGCAGGCACAGCTGGTCCCGCTAGCTCAGAGGCTCACTTCCTGGGGAAGAGGTCCAGGATGGATTGGTTTACAGAGGGGTGGGGAACCAGCTCCTGGTGCACCTGAGCAGGTGTGGACCCCGGATATCCGAGCTGGGGCCCTGCATCAACCAGGCTTGCCTGAGACCTAACTGAGAGTGTTCACAGACTATCTGAGATTTGGGATCTTGGGTGGTCTTCAAACAACGCAGGATGGCCTGCGGGAAAAGCTCAGCCCCCTCGATGTATAGACAGGCAGCCGAGGCCCCGAGTGGGTGAGTGGCCTACCCAGGCCACACTTCCAGTAGAGGGAGGAGTCTTCAGGACTCAAACCCAGGTCCGTGTGACTCCAAAGTCCACAGGGTTGTTTTGTTGTTTGTTTTCCTTTTCTAAATGGTCACCGTGCCTGACCTGGTGTGCAGCCTCAGCTCATCTGCTTGTGTGTGGCTCCCTGGGGCTAGCCCATTGGTGACAGGAAGGGACAGCAGGGTTCAGTCTGCCTTCTGTTGACTGGACCATTCATGGGGTGCTCTGAATCAACTCCTGAGGCCCCTGGATTCCTTCTTTACTCCGCAGTGTGTCGGGGGACCAGGGTGGCTTGACCACCCGTCACTCACATGCTGGGGAAATGACTGAAGGAGTGGGCTGGTTTCAGCAGTCCTGGTGAGGCGGTGTCTATAGATGGGAACACTTTGGAGTGCTGTGGTCACAGAGAGAGGGAAGGGCCCAGCCCAGGAGCTGGGGCCTGGAACTGGTGGGTGCCTGTGAGTTCTCGGGGTGAAGGAGCCCTGTATTCCCATCCAGGGTGGGCAGAGGAAAGAGCTGCTTACTCCTCCAACCCAGGAAACGGAAGGGGGGCTGCGGGGAGGGGGGGCTCTAGAAGTTGTCCCACAGCACACTCCCTCCTCTGAGCGTCCCTCAACCACGGCACCGCCCACCAGGACTGACGCACAGATCATGAGCTCCGCAGAGTCCCGTGGGGCTTTGGAATCAGCAAAAGGAAAGCCTGGCTCCACCTCCCACCTCTGCCACCTACTTGCCCAATTACCGTAAACAAATCACCCACATTTTCTGAGCCTTGGTTTCCTCATCGATAAAGCACCTACCTGACTGAGTTCTCAGAACTAGACACAGTGTGAAGAGCTCAGCACTATGCTTGGACTCCAGAAAACTGGCTGCACAGACAGTGCGGGCTAGCTCAGACCCGGTGCCTACCTCACGCCCCACGGGCAGCTGTAGTCCGCATTCCTGTGATGGCAGAGACCTGCGGGGTTGCCCTCCTGATCGGGCACACCCACCACCGGGTCCTCCACACTGGCAGGTGGCTGTGGGGCCAGCACAACACCAACTTGAGGGAACCAGAAATACAGGAAAATGTGGGGGGAAAGGACTTTATCTTGAAAAAAGAAAGAAACTGTTCTGGCTGATGTTGCTCAGTGGTTACAGCATCACCCTCAAACCAAAAGGTCATGGATTTGATTCCCGGTCAAAGGCACGTATCTGGGTTGCAGGTTCGCTCCCTACCCAGGTCGGAGCGCATGCAAGAGGCAACCAATTGATGTCTCTCTCTCTCTCTCTCTCTCTGCTCTTGCTCTCACTCTCGCTCTCTCCCCCTTCCTCCCTCCCTTCCACCCTCTCTAAAAATCAATGGAAAAAAATATTGTAGCCCTAACCGGTTTGGCTCAGTGGATAGAGCGTCAGCCTGCGGACTGAAGGGTCCCAGGTTCAATTCCGGTCAAGGGCATGCACCTTGGTTGCGGGCACATCCCCAGTGGGGAGTGTGCAGGAGGCAGCTGATCAATGTCTCTCTCTCATCCATGTTTCTAACTCTCTATCCCTTTCCCTTCCTCTCTGTAAAAAATCAATAAAATATATTTTTAAAAATATTGTAGGGTGAGGATTAACCAAAAAAAAAAAAAAAAGAAGAAGAAAAGAAAAAGAGAGAGAAAAGAAAGGAAAAAAATGAAACTAAAAATTATGAAAATAAATATTTTGCCTTATACTGTATTTAATTTTTTTAATATATTTTATTGATTTTTTACAGAGAGGAAGGGAGAGAGATAGAGAGTTAGAAACATCGATGAGAGAGAAACATCGATCAGCTGCCTCCTGCACATCTCCTACTGGGGATGTGCCCGCAACCAAGGTACATGCCCTTGACCGGAATCGAACCTGGGACCTTTCAGTCCGCAGGCCGATGCTCTATCCACCCAGCCAAACCGGTTTCGGCTGTATTTAATTTTTTTAAGTTATAATTGCACTGAACAATCTAAAAGGTTGGGGCTGCCTGTGGTTAATCATTCCACAGCTTTGTATGGCTTTTTCAGCAAACAAGGGTCTGCAAAAAGCAAATGGAGTTAAGGACCCAGTGGTTTTCTCAAGGCCTCTCTCCATCGTTTCAGTCAATTATTCTCTTTTGAAGCACCTATCCCCTTGCTAATTTTCTCTGATCTCTAAGGGTGGCAGCCTGTCTAACCTCCGGTAGCCGCTCCCCCACAGGTGCAGCTCTTCATGCTACCCATGGCCTTCATGAAAACTCGGACAGGGCTGTGACCTCCGCGGGGGAGGGTTGTGGGGGAAGTTGCAGGCACCGAGGTCCGATTGCATAGTGCCCTGGCCTTGACCCAGATCTGCAAGATTTGCAGCTCCAATGTGCACCTTAGAGTCTTCGCATTTTGGGAAAGACCCACCAGCGAAGCCTTTGAGGCCATGGGCTAGCAACAGTGCTGGGGTAAGTGTTCATCTGAATATTTGCTAACTGAGCAGGTGCCTCCTCCCTCTAACTGAGCAGGTGCCTCCTCCCTCTACCTAAAGTGCAAATGTTTTGTCAACTAAGGCGCACACACGAAGTCACCCACTGCCCTGACTCCCCTCCCTGCATACTGTGTCCAGCCCTTCTTCGGGGCTGTTCTGTGGTGGAGCCAGAGTTCTAGCAAACAAACGGCCAGCGGGAGCCACGAGTTCCCTTTGCATTTGGCCTTGTGCAAACCTGATCTTGGCCAAGGCCAGGGCAGTATGCAACCGGACCTCAGCTTCTGCAACTTCCCTGCACCCCCCTCCCGGTCCCCGCCCCAGCAGAGGTCACAGCCCTGTCCGATTTCTAGCCCAGCACCTCCTCGAGTCTCTGCGGAGCCACTGTCCACTCTAAGCAACATTTATTGAGGGCGGCGGAGAGCGAGGTGGGGCGGGGCCCGGAGTGCCTTAGGTAACCAGACCTCAGGCTCTCATCACATATAGACAGGGATCCCGGCGGAGGGCACAGAGCGCCATCGAGGGTGGTGCCCGGCCTCAGACGGGGGACGCCAGCTTCCGCTTCGTGCTCTCGCTGCAGCGGTGCAGGATGAGGTCTGCGCTGGGTCGCGGGGGCACCGCCGGCTGCGGCTT